CTGAGTAATGCAGCTTGCGGATTCGCAGCATCGCTGGCTCCGAAGTGGGATGGGCCCTACGAGGTAAGTACGCGAGTGTCGCGGCTTACGTACAGACTCACTCGGCCGAACACAACCGAGGAGTCTGGCCCTATTCACGTGACCGATTTAAAGGTGTACTACCTTCGCGACCAGGACGGCGATGGACGAGAAGCGGCTGATGAGGACGGGGAAAGCCCCGTCTCGGCCGGACGGCAGACGCAGTCCGGAGCACGGATGGAGCGCGCTGGCCGGACGGTGCATGACACTGTCGGCGAGCTCACTTCTAACAGGAGTTTCTGCCGTCACTACAATCTGCGGCGCAGGGTTTAATCTATTTCTGTGTTTTTAACTGAATTTCCTCCCCACAGAATGCCTTTCTGGAACGACGCCGGACGCCGAGCACGTGCCGGCGCTGGACGGGGACGACCCCTCCCAGGAGGCTCGCCAGGCCAGAACAGGGGCGCTAATGCTCCCCCAAGTACCCGGGGTGGGCGCCCCGGGTCGAGGCGGCCCGACTCCCGAGGTCGGCGACCATGGAGGTGGCCCCACGATCGGGCGTCGGACGCTGGGTCCGGACTGCGCCAGGCGGGCTCCGCGGATTCCGCGAGCCACCGCGCTGGCACACCGCAGAGTGGGTCGGGCCCGCCTGCGCGGGGAGGACCAGGCTCGAGCAGGCTTCTTCGCCCCGCACGACTTCCTTCCAGGAGAAGAGAGGGACCGTCACCGCAGGGGGGACGGGCCTGGAGCCGGCGGCCATGCCACACCGTGGCAACCTGGACGACATGGGACGGGCAGCGGGACCTCCATTTCGTGTCCCGCCAGCGTTGGCGGGGCCAGCCGAGACCGGTCCACGACACGCCCGGTGTCGAGGTCCCGCCGCCCTTCCTGGGGCACACGCTGCCCGCCTTCGAGTTGGCCCCGGACCTGCAGGACCCCTGCTGGCTCTGCCGGGTGCCGGTGGTTCACCGCGAGACCCACGAGGCCAGCCCACGCCACCAGGAGCTGCTGAGGACGGTGGCCCCCCCCCACGTGCGTCGAGGCGGCGCTGCGGCTCCTCCAGAGGGACCGGCCCGACCTCCTGGCCCCGGCGGCCCGGGAGCTTCCTGAGGAGGGGGCCACCTCTGCAGCCTCCACCGCCGCTGCCTCTACCGCTGCGACCGCCGCCACCGCGGTCTCGGACACGCTGCCGCCCCCGCTGGTGCCACTCGCCGGCCCGGCCGAACCCCTCCCGCCTCCGCCTCCGCCCGCCGAGGACACGGTGATGGCGGAGCTGGAGGAGTTCCTGGCCGGGGACCGTCCACCCTCCGCCGACTCGGGCCCCCCGGGGTCCGAGCCTTGAGGGAGGGGAGGTGTGGGGACCCTCTCCCTGGCTCCCCGCGCTCCGTGACCTTCCCGGTCCCCGCCGCCGTACCGTCGGGCGCTCCTTCGTTCCCCGTGACCTTCCCGTTTTCCGTCGCCGTCCTGTCGCGGAACGTCCGAGCTCTCCGGGAGGAACGGGGCAAGCGCCCCCTCACCCAGCGCTGACGTCGGAGGGTCGGCTCGCGGCAAGGTTCCCGATTGGACGGTCGGCGGAACAAGGACTTGGGAAGGTCTTAAAAGGGGAACGGAGACAAAGGAAGGGGTCTTGGGCTGCCGACTTCGAAAGGGACCGGTCAGGGAGGTCACCGGGACGACAGCGACGAGCGGCTCTTTAACGACGTGAGTTTGAGTAAACTCTTTTGAACACGCACTGTGTGGGTGACTTCTTGGGGAGCGAGCGAGGCACGTCCCGATCGGGCGTCGATCAGGTAGCGACCCACAACGCATAAAGGTTTTAGCATTACAAATGGTTTATACGTACAATGTCAACTAGTACTGTGGAACCTACAAACCTTGTGAGCAGAAAAAAATTCCTACTGATGATCACATAGTGACTGAAACGATGACACAGTATGATGACATACTGACTAACATTATGACGCAGTGACTGAAAGTCAAACAATAGGAACGGTTATAAGACATAAACCACTTTTCATCTATACTCTCACGATATGGTGTCCCCCCGTCTAACAGGTAAAAAAATACCTGACAAATATTTTTGCTTTAAAATGTACATAAAAGCTCAATTCACTGCATACTATACCCAAGAACGCCACCTCCTACATCCTGTGTTTCTTGCGTATGCCCTTAAGCTAAGACGAGCGCTCCTTTGCTGATTTCTTTATTTCTTGAGCTTGTTTGTTCCTACCCATCGTAATATGCTTACAGTATTGTCGCATTCGCATGCTGAAGTAGTAGTGGAGAACTGGGATATTGTTTCTTCTTTGTGTTCAACGCTTGGAAACGTTAGTGTGCTTGTGTCAAGAACACTGTCGATTGTGTCCCAGGAGACAGTCTTGTGGCTTTTATTTTGCACGAAGAACTGTTCCGCTTTCTTCAGTAACTGGAAAAGGTTCTTGTTGGGGTGTATAAGGCCTCCTCTGTTCTTCACGTTTGTCAGTGCTGCTTCAGTAGAAGTGTTCTTGTCAATGCTGAAAGCAGATCGGCATGCAGGGCAGCGTGTAGCTTTTTTTTTTTTTTATTTTCACGCTCAAAAACCCAGTCACATAATATATCATGCAGTCCACAGCCATGGTTTCTTGAGCCTTTTCTGTCCAGACATCTTCGCATTCCCAGTCTTCGACAGAAATTAGACTGTCAAGCTCGGTCTTCACTTGGTCAACGAGATGAGGAAACTAGGTAGTAACTTACGATCGGCCTTCGGGATTGCACGACGCCACTGCTCCAGGCGAGCGTCATTCGATGGAGCTTTAAACAAGGACACTCGCTCTGCGCAGTTCCGGTACCCCGAATTCGAGTTGGGAACGAAGCACGTCTTTCCCATCCTTATAGCATAACTTCTTCGGGTTAAGGCTCATCTTTGTGTACGATGGTGGCACCGGTGATTGACACAGCACCAAAGCAAAACATGAGGCCAGCCACTGACCGCACACCACCACCACACCGCCAAAAAGGCGAGCAAGCTACGCCCCCGACACCGTGGCCGCCGAGGAGAGACCTCGTACCCACGGTGCTCACACCTCAGCGTCCTCCACGGCGGCGCGGAACAACTACACTTCGTTTTACCTTATGTTGTACCGCAGCGAAGGCTAGAAGCGCAAGCTCATTGCGTTGGCAGCTGCTCTTAAGTCACGAGAGCTTGTGCCGCCGGGGTGTGCTCCAGAGCAAGGAGCTCGCGCTTGTAGCCTTTCCTGCGGTACATCACAAGACTAAACAGAGTATACTCCTTAGTTAAGGCTAGCTCCGAACACGATTTGGTCGCTCGCGTCCCGTGGGAAGATCGGCCAGAGTCACCACCTAAATGTATTTCTTCCACCGTGGGCCAGCCCCAAGGCTGACGTAAAAACCTCATGTCGAGCACGCGCGCGCGTGCACGCAAACATGTTAAAGGGGTCGTCGAGTACATTGCGAAGACAGCGCTGCGCTCTAGGCGCGACTTTCATTGATCATCGAGTGCAAGGCCAAAATGTACAGGTCATCACGTGCGTGCGCTGCAACAGCATATAGTGCGCGCTCGCACGCGCACACGGTACGTCGAAAAGGCACTCGGGAAGAATGCACCCCAGCATTACCTTAACAATAAGGATATCGTGATCCCACGTAAATATATCGCAGTTTTAGATATATGCACATATTTTTATGAAATTTACTTTTTGCTAAACGTTTTGAGCCGAATTTATGGTGAGCAATATTATGAGTGACTTTTATTTTGCGAGACCGCAATATATTTCAAGCCCAGTGTTAGACGTTAGTGTATACAGCATGTACATTAATGCTTCAACCCCATTTTAAACGGTCCGCAAATTTTGGATTTTCAACGTATCATTTTGTAATTTGTTAGTGTTGCTGCTAAGCAGTGAACTGTTGGTATAAAAAAATCAATAAACAAAACCACCTTGAAAAAGAAAAGAAAGAAGAATCTCTGTTGGGCAAAGTATACGGCAGCATTTGCTGACGGTGACAAAAAAAGGCGCTCACCGACTCGTTGCTGTCGACAGACAGCGCAACGTAAAGTACGGAAGGATGCGGTGTACATCGCTCGATCATCTCCGTACCAGGAACGCGGGGAGACGCGCTCTAGGCGACCTAAAGATTTGGGTATGATGTAACGACCGGTCGGAGGTTTTTCATGCTTTCTCGCGTTTCGATACATCTTCGGGAAAAACGAACGTGATATTCTGACGCGGCGCTGTTGACGCGCACCCTTCTTACGATGACACGCGGGCGTAAGCACACGATTTCGATTCCCCAGTATATGCACAACGTAGGTGACAACGGAAAACCGAGGCGCAGACCTCAGTTTTACGTTGTCACCCCTGGGCTAAATGCTAAGGCATATTTCATTGAGAATAGGGCATATCAACAACAGCGATTTCGGCATCATCTTTCCTTTAAAAACAAAAACAAATATTGCGTTGTGTTTATTTTTGTACAGCCGGGAACTTGGCCTGCGTCGACGGGCGACGAGTTTCCCAGCTGTAGATGAGCAATCTAGCCAGTGCAGTACAACCGCTAGCCTGGGGTTCTTTCACTTGCACCACGCAGTAGTGATGCACGACCGCACGCCGGTACGGCGCTCATCCAGATCGAAACGGGCAGGGGTGGGGATTGAGCCCAGGATCCCTGAGTTCTGCAGCGCGAGCTTTCGCTCCACGTGCTCCGAGCTGGTGTGCGCTAACCACCTCGGCCACCGATCCCCCCTTTCTTTTTTTCAGCGAGGCAAGCTTAGGCGGTTATATTTCCACTCAACGCTGCCACCACACTGCCGAACATCTGTTGTGATCACAACGCGAAGAGTTGAGAAACCGATTTTTATGGAGCGTCTTAGCTGGGTTCGGAGTGTTAGCACAGGCGCTGACGATGTTTGACTCTTACCTCGTGGCGAGGTATTCTTGTTATGTACTTTTTGTTTTGCCAAAGTAGGTGCACAGCTGCAGAAACGGAGAAGCAGAGAGGCCTGCCGTCCACCGCCTTCTTGTACTCTGGGAAGGTTCTCAATATTGACTTCTGCAAGAAGAGAGGCGCGAAAGCAGGTTTCTATATAAAAAAAAAATAAAACCCTCTTTACACGCCGTAATGGGGCCGTCTGCTGATTTTTCACTAAACCGCGGAGTGAAAAGTACAGTGAAATGACAGGATACAAAGAGTAGGGAGGCCTTCCAGTTGTTCCTCCTCAAGAATGAAGTCCCTGGATCCTAGGAAAGTACCTCTATTGCCTTCCCTGTCTACAAAATATTTGGATCGGCTTACTAAGAATGGAGAGGTTAAGGAGAAACTGATTGTTTCGTGAACCAATATGGCGACCCCACGGAGAGCTTTACGCTACTTTTCCCATAATCCAACGACTTTACTCAAGAACAACAAAGAAGTCCTTCGCTTTTATCGCAACCAGCGCGAGCGATTCCTGCCTTCGATACCACCTCGGCGCCTCTTTGACTTCGAAGGTGCACTTGCAACTGAAGCACGACCAAAGGCAACGTGAGCGTACATGCGGCCTGACCGCCTAGGACAGAATCTGCGCTTCTTGTTCGGTCCAAAAGGGCTAGGTATTATTTAATCCTTTTTTTTTTTGCTACTCTTATGCAGTGTCTTAATATGTATATCTCGGTAAGCTGACTGTGAAGTATATACGACCGCGATGTGATAATCTAAGTACTGCGAATTCCACGCACTCACGCAACGCACAGTGTCGTATCTCAGGCTCTCTTTTTAGTTCGACATATTTCTTCTTTTTTCAAAGGATGTCGTTACTTTTCCGTATGGAGGGGCTATAATTTTAGGAAGTCGCCTCATCACGGGTCACGTGGTCATTAAAAAAGGCGAACCGCAGTCTGGCGACTTCTAAGGTGCTCAGATGTTGGTATTGCTTCCCTTATTTTCGGTATGGCCAACTCAAGACAGATAAACTTAGCCATTCGAAAGCGCGAGAAGAATTTCGTTTTTCGATTTCTGACTTCTCGAATATTATATTTTGACAACGCTTCAGATCCGGCCCAGGATGATCATCTTCCAATGGTAGATTTGTGGCAGCGTTGGCACCGTGAACGCCTTGCAGCTACGTCCCTACTAGTTTATTAAGGTCGGCGGATCTTTGCGGAAGCCCGCAGCAGCGCGCCACTTCAGTTTCTTTTCCTCGGCGCTGCGCATGCGCGGCGAGGTCGCCGGACACCCGAGCCGGGTACGGTCGGTCGGTCGGTTGTTTACGCGCGGGGGTGACGGGCGATGAGTGCATCTCGTACGCTCCTACATCGAATGGGTCAGGTGGGACAGGTGAGACTGGAGTGTGACAAACGCGCTGCCATCCCTGGTCCCTCGAGGAAAGACGACCAACAGAACAGCGGAAAACCCGAAAAAGAAAGCAGCTGCAGGGTTAGCCCTGTTCATTTTGCCGTGGTGGATTATTTATCTTTGTACAATGCGCGCCTCCATGCAATAAAACCAAATCAGTCCAGGAACGCGGAGTTCCTTCTTTCTATTTGTTATATATACATAATGTGCCTGAGTTGCTTCTGATGCTAAACAGCGACTGTAGTGATTAGACGTCGGAACACTCGATTGACTTCACCAGATCAAACTCATTCAAGTTCAAGCGCCGTTTCCGGCGTTTCGTTTCAATAATAGAAATCCATCGAGCGAATGCCGATTTAGAGCTTGTTGCACGAAGCGCGTATTCTCTTCCTTGGGGGATTTCGAAAACCGACCCGGACCTAGAAGGGGAATTATCCATTAGCTGAGAATGTGCGAAAGAAAGCCCCTACCAAGAGCGGGGCGGGCGAGCGCTTGAGATTCGACTTTACTCACAACTCCACCCGTGCGCTAAGTTTGGCAGCGCTGGCTTTAAAACAGTCCTGGCTATGACTTGACTCGGGGCCACGGCTGCTTGTCCACACTTACTAAATATGTATGTTACTTCGTGGACTCCACTCAGCTTCTAGGAAGTCGGCTGCAGTGTCCCGCGCTCGAGCCCTTCGATTAAAAAACCACACATCCAGTCGTGATAATGAAGCTCGGGCTCCATACAATCCTCGTCGAAAGACAAGAAAATCATCGTTAGCTGGACTTTGTCTCTACGCGTTTCAAGGCCGTCTCGTCTGTCCACTGGGGAACGCCGAAAGGTGGCTATTGTCCAGCTGTTCTTGCAACCCACCATGTTCTCAATAGGATTAGGGGGAGAATGCCAATCAGCTTTCCATTTATTTATGTCGTTTAGATTTCCAGTCGAGTTATGCGTGCTGATGCCTGCCACGTCCGCCTCCCTGCAATAAAAAAATCTGTTTATTAAAATAAAAATGAACGCTGCTCTGTAGTCACTGGAAGCTTTAGCAACACCGGGTGTGGCATACCAAGTCCATGCAACCTACTTCGTGATTGGTTCGTGGGCGTTTTTGTCGGCAAATTCCGTCATGTCATTGGCTGAGGATCGATAATGAGATGCATGGGTGTCGCTACGCTCTGCGTTTCGTAAGCTTGCAGTAACTCTCACAGGAGGAGCGTTTAACAGAACAGTCAATAACGACGGGGCGTAGGGTGAACGAAGAAACGTAAGTATAAACAATCTCCGCTCAGTCTTTAGAAAAAACATTGCGATGCTCGGAAACAAAAAATTATGCCAATGAAAGTCTGAACTGAGAAGACATCATATGCTGTGAGCCACGCATGTAAAATAACGGCACTTCAAAGTTTTGTCTTTTTTATCTGTCCAGTTTTAATCCACTCAGGTGACTTTTTTTTTTTTTTTTTTTTTTTTTTACGTTGAACGCGTTTAGGGTTTGAGAGTCTCGAAGGAGGTATGACAGAATTCCACTAAACACACAAAAAAGCGTTACGAAATGTGTGACGCACATATTAAAAAGAAAACATATATACAAAAGGGTTCAATATTCATGGAGTCATAAAGCTAGGAGACAGGACGAAAGTTCGGACATCCCTCAGCGCAAACGGCAGTCAGTACCTGAGGATTCAAATCCCGACGCTTTACTTCTGTGCCAAGAGGAAGGCTTGTTAACCAAATGTTGCTTAGTTTCATGCCAAGTGCAGAAGCATGAGTAACCACGTCGCCATATTGCACGACCACATCACTTTATTTCATGCCACGATAAAAAGCTAGTGAGGTTCCAATATGCTTTATGAGAGTGAGGAAAGGAGCAGAAGCAACACCCTCCGTGTATGTTTTTTTTTTTTTTTTATCCTCAGGTCCAAGATAGATCAAATTGTTTAGGAGTACCATAACAGCATGCACTGCCGTTCATTTACTTATGATGAATCTAAATAAAAATTGAAGAAGCGATGCAATTATGTGTGACTAAGAAATGCCTTTGAACGCGTGTTATAGTAGGAGGAATAAAACAAACAGTGCATTAAAGTCATCTAGCATAAAGTTCCGCCGAACGTGGTCTTTCACTGTAATAGTTAGAACGGGACGTCTCGGATTCTTAGACTGCGTAAATTCATTTTTTTTTCCTCATCAGGTGACAATAGCTACGAAGAAAACGATGCATCACAGTTGGCGGCATCCCATTCTACAACCTGGAAAAGTGAATCATATACGACATAATAATAAAACAAACACCTATCACATATGACCCTAACCTCCCCCCGCCCACACACACACACAGACACGCACACACCACCAAAAACAAATATCACGTTTGCGTTTCGACAGCTTAAGGTCAATCTTTTTTTGAGGTACGGCGGCACTGGTTGACGCTGTAGATGATACTTTCGCCGTCGCACTACGACTACTAGCCTGCCAAGAAAACGCGTGGTGCTCCGCTTCAATGATTCATCAGTGCCAGTACCAACGCCTGCCGAGCTCAAATCTGTCGTAAGTAAATACAAGTGCTCTCGCGTTCAATGTGAGCTGAAACTGTGGTACACGCTTCCTCGGAGCGCCCGTCAGTGTTTCAGAGATGTGTGGTTCCAATGTTACTGTATCTCTCACAAACGTCTGCAGAGCCGAAAAAGGCGTGGTGGGCGCGAGCACGTGCTTTGGAAAGTGCCTTCTCTGCGCGAGCTCTCGTGCGAACGAAGCAATCTGCGTAGTTGGGCTCACGCGCCCGTACATTTTTTCTGCACTGCAGACACTTTTGAGATGAATAGGTAGGAATGGAATGCCAGCTAAGGTACCATACTTCGAGCTCGGACAAATTGAGACGATAGACCTTCTGAAGACTGCGGACGCAAAAAGGACGGATCGGAAGCCTCAGGTCTGGAGAGCGCCTTTAGAGCGCGCGACACTACCGGGTGTCCCAAATAGTGGCCAGGCTCTTTAAATCGACCGCGAAATTCGGTTTCTTAACCAATCGCGCTACGATTTTGCACAGCGTTGCCCACAGATGGTGCATTTGCTTCCTAAACTTTTCAAAGAGCAAGCTTACCCGAGGAAAAAGTAAAGAAAGAAAAAGGCTTAACTCCTATGGAAACGCAGCGAAGCCACCGGTCTTCAAACAATAGGGCGCCCTATTGTTTGAAGTTCGGTAGCTTCGCTGCATTTTTATAGGAGTTCATCCTTTTTCTTCTTTTACTTTTTTCTCGAGTAAATTTGCTCTTTGCCAATTTTACACAACAAAAATGCACCATCTACGGGCATCGTTGCACAAAATCGTAGTGCGATAGGTTAAGAAACCGAATTTGGAGTCGACTTAAAGAGCCTGGCCACTATTTGGGACACCCCGTAGAACGCCGACGTGAGAGCGCGCGACACGAGGGCGCTGAGGCAGTAGAGCGCTAGACACTAGAGCGTATGTCACGAGAGCGCGTGACCAGTTGAGCGCGCGACATGAAAGCGCACCCCAGTTTTGCGAACACCGCAAGGTGTGGGACGTACCCGCGGCTCCATAGGCAGAAAACAATATTGTGCGACTCATGGGATCAGAGCATTGGTGATTTTTGATTGATTGAATATGCGTTGAAAAAAAAATAAAAACGGGTACGACTCTTTCTAGCCAATTCTTTGCTGACATCGGAGAGAAAAGGGGGCCGGGGAGTGTGGTGGGGCACATAGGTATCGGGAATGTCTGCAGATGGATGGAACAGCGCGTATAAAATTTCTTCACGGTCCTGTGGTGTGCCTCTCGGATATACCATAAACTATCTTGACTGGCATTTGGACACCGACCTACTTGCTGCCTATCTAGACGTCCCTCTCATAATTATAAATAGTATTGTAACGTCCATGACCGCAATGAACAAAGCTCGCCGCTAAAAAACTATCAGTAGAAAGCTCATCGAAGGAAAGCTCAGGATAATTTTATCGGATGCAGAGCTTTCCAGCCTTTCGACGGATACCGGAAAACCTTTCCTGCAAAACTGTGAAATATATCTAAGATTTTGTTTCCCAAATCCTAATTCGTTGCCGCTTCGGGTACGGTGAGGACGTCACCTTCTGTTGCTGATAGAGCACAAACTAAAGGCAATGCCCTTTTTGCATGTCTCAGAAAAGAGCTTACAAATAAAAATACTTGTTTATCGCTTTGGTGGCGAGGCTACGGTGCTTTACAAAACCGTAGCCTCGCCACCCTTGTTCTTAGGGAGTAGTCCAATCTGCTAGGGCCAAACGAGAATGCTTTGATTCAGAAATATACAAATACCAAGATTTCTGAAATATATGAATATCGACGAAAAACCGCCGCACAAACAGAAATAAAAGTTCGAACACAAACGTTTTAGACAGCACTACACACCGAACTTCTACACAAGGATAGTGCCGCGGGTAGTAAATTTAAAGGTTTGATTGTAGGATTCGTAGGTCAACTTTTTCCGACAAAGACGTCTACAGAGACAGAGCACCAATGCGTCAAGATCAACGCTACCAGATTCCGAAAAGCACGTAGGAGATGATGCCGGCCGCACCGGACGCTGTCGGCCTCGCCCCAGCGCTCTATCCCTCTGCTACGCTGACATCAACGCATATTTCATATTCATAGTCAGCACAGGTTCCCAGATTAAGCGTTTAGTACAATTATCATTGGTGACAATATATGAATGCTCGGCGTATGACACTTGCCACGAGAGTTCCTTTCCCGAAATTGTTCGAGACAACACCAAAATACGGGAAGCATGTTACATATGTTGCTTCTTTCCTTTTTAACGTTTTAAAATAATTTGAAATAAACGTTAGTGTTGTCGGTGGTGAGCTTTATCAACTCAAATCAAATAACTAATGAAGCTAGGTCAGCTGCAAAGCTTTTTTCTGCGGAAATGGACGCTATAGATATTCTTTTTTTTTTTTTCTTTCTGCGGTCAGCTTTTTGCAACAGTTCCGGGTTTGGCACACGCAAACATTTCGTCGACTCATTCCATATGTCCTTGCTGAAAACCGCGGCGTAAATCCCCCACCAAGTTCACATAAAACACGCGATGTCCGTACAAGTGGTAGGTCGGGTCGGGCCACCGTGGGTCGGGCTACTCGCGAGGGACTGGTTGTGCGCTCACGTGACGGGCGCTCTAAAGACACGCTGCGCTCTCGAGTCGCGCGCGCTAACGTCGCGGCGCTTTACTGTCGGCGCTCTAACGTCGGCGCTCTTGTGTCCTGCGCTCTAGTGTTGTACAGCGTTTTAGGTCATATTGATCGTGATATAGTACGAAGGACGTCCAAAACGTTATCGGCCTGACAAAGAAGGAATGCGAGCACAGACATCAGACTTTATTGTAGCATATGGGTACTTCCTAGGATTCCCGACTGCAAAAAGGGTGCATGATCACAATACGGTTTTATTGCGGCAGACACCTGCTTGTGGCAATCCGCGCAGTCAAGGTAAACGGGAGAAAGTGAAGACCCATTCGATGGTTCAATATTTTTCTCCAGCGGCGTAGACTCCCCATTTTCCCTGGGGGGGAGGAGGGGGGGTGCACGTTACCTTTTTGCCAGAACTGGAGATCGAAGCTAATGAAAGCACGCTGGGATTCCATTTCCCATGTACTTTGTCAAATAAAGGCAACGTGGGCGTTATTTTGTTTAAAATAACGCCCACGTTGTTTTAAACACCCACTTCATGGCAAGTAAACAGCGTCTGCCCGGGGGGCCGGGGTGGGGGGGGGGGGGGGGGGGGAGCTCTGCTTACTCCCCAGATCTCACCAGGGGAGGCACAAGCCCCCGATGCCCCCCCCCCCCCCCCTTGAGGTCTACGCCTATGTTTGTCTCAGAAAGGCCCGACTCCGGCCGGCCATCTTCAAGAACCTGGTGGCGTCGTAGGCACAGGATCCCCCTTCCTACAACACTGTGGAGAAGTGGCCGCAAACTTTAATCGAGGATGAG